TCTCTGAGATGCTTTTAATTTAAATGGAAATTTCTATTCTAAATGAAACAGGAATCCAAGAACAAAGAGATGAGGGAATACAAGAAACAGGGAAGAAGGAGAACCTGAAATGTTTTAGTTTGGTGTGAACAGAGGTGAACACAAAGGGAAAGACATCCAGCATGGCAAAGATAGGAAGGCAGTAATTTTCACATACAAGAGGCCAGGGGGAGACAGCTTGGCCACCATTGATGTTTTCTTAGGTGATACAGAGAGAAATAGGGCTGGCCAGTAAAGGGGTCTATAAGAGACAGAGTAATGGTCCCCCTAAAGATGTCTTTGTCATAACCCTTGGAACCTGTGAATGCGTTACCCTGCATGGCAAAAGGCACTTTGCAGGTGTGATAAATCAAGCATCATGAGATGGGAAGGTTATCCTGTATCATTCAGGTAGGTCCAATGTAACCTCAATGAGAGGCAGAAGGGTCAAAGTCAGAGAGAGAGGTGATGATGGAAGCAGAAGTTGGAGTGATGCTCCTGCTGGCTTTGAAGATGAGAAGGGGCCATGAGCCAAGGAGTGCAGACAGCCTCTAGAAGCTGAGAAGGGCAAGGAAACTGAGGAACGCAGCCCTGATGACACATTTAGAGTGATATAATAAATGTGTGTTTTAAAAAGCAAAGTATGTGGTGATTTATTACAACAGTAACAGGACAGTAACACAGGGTTTAAGATTATTGGCCTTGAGAGTCATTGTGTGTGATCTGGAAGACAACACAGACCCACTTCAATATATTTGAACAAAGGAATGATGAAGATAGTGTTTTAGGAAAACTAATCTGCAGCAAAAAAATAAAAAGAAGACAAGGATCAGAAACAGTAAAGACATGCTTACATAAAGCAGAAAGACATGGTATTAGGAAGGTAAGAGTAAAAATGAAAAATGAAATCGTGCATATGATAGAAATTTGGAAGAACAATCAATGGGACTTGAAGACACTCTGGATATGGAAGGTAAAAGAAGGGTAGGAAAAACCTCCAAGGTGTCAAACTTTGTGGCTTCACTACATGTGATGGGGAGAGGGTGTGAGGGTTGTATCTAAGAGAAACCTTAAAAATATAACCACGCTATAGGAATTCTCGAATGTCAACAGGCATGAAGATTATCTGCAATGCTGGTTTAACATGCACATTACTGGGCTCTACCACAAAGATCCCGATTCAGTGTGTCTGGGTGGTACCCAGCAATCTGCCCTTCAGTAAACACTGTTCTGATTCAGGTGATTCAAAGTTCACATTTTTTAAAACACCAATCAAAAAAACTAAAAGGAAAAGGAATTAAATACTCATCATAGCTCTGGAAGAAACAACTAATCTTATGTAAAATCTGAAGGGGTAAAAATTGACATATTAGACAATATAAAAATTTAAAACCTTTGCAAATTAAAATAAATATCATAGCCAAAATAAAAAGGTCCTTGGTGAAAAATACTTTCAGCAAATGGCTAATATTTTATTAACAGGCCACACAAACTAATGAGCAAAACCAACTGAGACCACTGTAGATAAATGGGAAAGCACAGAAACAGAATTCCAAAAAGGAGGACTAGACTCATAAACAAACATAAGAAATACCAATTAAAATAGCAACAAGGCAACACAGATTGCTTGCTAAATAAACAAATATCATTTTGGGGGGTAATATTCAAAGCTGATGAGATGCTGTGATACTTTCATACTTGCTGGTGGCACTATAAATCCTCTATAACTATTTTTGAAAGAAAGTAATTTGGCAATACATACGAGGAGCTGTAAAAATATCCATACACTTTGACAGAAAGTGCTTCTTTTAGTAATCGCGCTTTAGGAAACACTCTTGAATATGGGGAAAACAATTACATGTAATGAAGGCTATCAACTGTTGGAAGTTTACCATGTGATATACATGATTTAATTAAGTCGGTAAAACAATTCAATGAAGTTAGTACTCTAATTATTCCCATACTAAAAATGGGGAACCTGAGGCACTGAAAGATCATGTGACTGGTTCCAAGGACTTAAAGAGCCGGGAGAGGTAAAGGCAGGCTCGGAAACATCCCGCTCCCAGAGCTCGCGCACTTCAGGTCTACATCATGTTACCACCACGTGGGAATATGGGTAGCACAGCAGCATTTGGTTTACTGACAAACGCAAGAAAAGAAGGGAAACAGGAGATGTATTAGGATAGCAGAAATAGGCATGGGCAACAATGGGTTATTTCTCCTGCCCCCAAATTTTCTGCAAGATTTAAAAGCACAAAAGAAATCCTAAGAAAAGTATAAATGGTTAGGATATTGTTTTCATATTTTAATACCGACAATTATGAAAGTTTGGGAGAAATAATAATCATTATGAACTTTCTTCATACAGCCAAAGGAACTGTCACATGGGTATTGGTTTGAGTTTCTGCCTCAGACTTAGCCTGAGAATAAGCCAGGGAACATTTTTGTGTGTTTGTGGTACATGAGGAAGGGCAATGCGTCTGTTATTCTGTGGATGCAAAGCCCTTATTAATAGCTCATATATTATTTTAGAATTAACCTGGGGACATTGGTTAAACACTTTTAACAAGTGAGAAATACAGTGGAAAGTGTAAGGAAAATCAGGGCACTGGCAACAACAAATTGTATACACTGCAGAAATAGTTGAATATTTAAAAAAAATTAAATGAGAATAAATTTAACTGCATTTAAAGGGACAATATTTAATGTAAAAAACCATAATATTCAAAGCACATCACAAAATTCAAATATGGAAAAACTAGGGTACCAAAATTCTAACAAAAAGATAAAGTTGTACAATGTTGCAGTAGCAAGCAGTAAAGCTTGTATTTTCTGATTAATTTTTTTTTTTTTGCCCATTTCAATCCTTCTTAACACACAGTTTTATAGCCAAGAGTACAGACTTGTTTAGTTTTATGCCTTACCATTATTTGTACTTAATTGTCTTTTATAGTTATCTCTTTGCCAAATCTCATACAAACACAACGGAGCAAGTAAAGGAAATTTTCAGCATCTGCTTTCTGCTCTGCAATACGTAAGATTAGATAGTGTCTCCCAACTAAAATTCTGCTCCAACAAGCTATTTTTTTCCTCTATGTCCCTGTAAGGATGTTTTAACAAGGCTGCTGGAAACATGCAAAATTGAGAGATCTGAGGATTTCTATTCTAACTCTAGTTGGTCTGATAATATAAGAATAGTTAAAATGGTTACCAGAATTGCAGAAACTGAGAAAAGTCCTAGAAAATCTGGTGCTTTTTCCTGACTGTGAGTATTTAAGAACTGCCTGTAATCACTGGGGAGAGTGTCCTCCTCTGCAGAAGAAAAGAAACTGTATGAGAGAAGAGGACAGGGTGAACGACCCTCCACTCCAGCGTGGGCCTAATTGGCAGTCACCCAGCTGTGCCCCATATGGAGTTGGTCCCTGAGAATCTGAGGACAGCTGGGCTGTGTTGGGGTTACGGAGAGCTGGGCGCTGACCTGGGAGGTAAGGAAGGAGTCCAGACTCTGGTTGTCAGAGGCTGGGCTGGGGATGAAGTTCTGGTTTCATCTCATTGCAAGGACTTATTTCATGAGGTACCCAGTTGAAATCTCTCTAGAATCTGCTTCCTTGAAAAACGGTAAACAAAACGATTTCTTGAGAAGGCAGTGAAACCCATTCCAGGTTTGTTTTTCTTCGAGGCCTCTAGGTTGAAGCTTTCTTTAGAGCCTAAGCCTGTGCTCACCTGTGGTGTTCCTTTTGGAAGCAAATTTGGGAGTAACAAAATTTTAATTGGAGAATAAATTGTGACTTAATCCTAACAGAAAAGCGTGCAGGTAACTTAGAGCTCCTCTTTAAAAGAAAACAGAGGAAAATAGTCTCCTTAATTCCTCAGGAGTATCCTATTAAAGTTTCTACTCAGGACTCTTCTCCTAACGAAAAAAAAACCAAACAAAAAAAAAGTGGGAAATTTAATTTTAAAAAATGGTAAAGAATTTTTAATACAGAGTAAGCACACTTTCACATTGTTTATGCACTGACATTTCCCAGGGAGTTTAGGATGTGTTTAATGAAATTAAAAGAATAGGCCCTTTCTTCAAATACTTATTATCTTCCCATCTAAGTTTTTATCTAAGTAACAAAAGTGAGGAAATTAAATTATGCCATACATTTTACATATGTACACACATGTATACATATGGATAGATACACATATACAAAAATATATACACACACATATACACATATGAATGTATATGTATTATTAAAGAAAAATGATGAAGTTGCAATAACTCATATATACTGGTTTTCTGGGCGATTTCATGAGGTATTTCTAGGAATAAGATAATTTCGGCACGCCAATGACAATATATAATCTGCGAAACATTAAATTTTGGTGCAAAATAAGAAAGTATACACTCTTCTACGTTACATAGACCATTTCTCCAAAAACTCAGCTATTCCTTTTTCATTCTTGTCTCTTTTATCTAAGACTTTTAATGAAACACCAATGCTAGCAAGTGGCCTTTACAATTCAACCCAAGGCAGCGAGCCCCTTTTTCACACGTTGCCAAACAGTCCTTAAATGCATGTGATATGTATATTTCTTTCCCAGGTACATGTAAGTATGAGTTGATGTTAATAAATCTCTCCCTATAAAATAAAAAAATCATTTGCTTTTCTTCTTTTCCTTTTTGTAAAGCCCGTTAAGTATATTTTATGGATGAACACAGGGTCTGGGTCTTATCCTTTCCGAACCTACCATTCCCAGCACAGCACACGGCCAACAGCTTGCCGTCTCACATCTGTCCACGTAAAAGATCTTAACAGAAAACCCATGTGCTCAGAAAGCACACCTGTAAAGGACGAAATAATGCATTTTCAAAGGAAACTTACGTCATGATAAAAGAAGTCACACTGTTCCAAGAACTATTTGGGAACCCCAGAAAGCATCTAAATGTTATATCATTTGCCAAAAAGAGAAAAAAGAGGAAAAAAAGTTACCTTTTTGTGCAAGGCATGAAATTCGCTGTACCTTTTCTCAACAAAATGTTTTCTTCCATTCATTAGTACTTCTATCTTAAACACCTAAGAAAAAAATTAAAAAGATTAATTCCCCCATTTCGAAACCTTCAATTGTCTGATGTGGTAAGTTTGTGACCATGATATATTTCATCCCTTTAATTACAGTAGCTGATCCCCCAAAACCCAGAAGACTCAGGAGACCCTTGGCCCAACAGCACTGATTAATGAGCACTGGAGCCAAATGCTCACTAACAAACTGCAGTATCCCCGTAAACGTGTCTAGAAACAATGCAAACCTAAATGCTTTAAAATGCACCTTAACTTTTTAATCAGAGGATGTTCCTCCCTTCACAGTATTTCACCAAATGCAGATAATGGTATTGAAATAGAAATGTGATACCACAGCAAGAGTCTGGTAAAAATCACAGACCCGCATCATGCTGTGACGGTTGTCTCAATGGAAGCGCTGCTGCTGTGTCATCTGCAAGACAATCATGCAGACGATAGTGCATTTTAGGTTAATTTCTTCCTAACCTGCATATTCATCTCTTGTCTCAGCTGGGCTTATTGTGCTGTTTGCAAAACAAGGAAAATGTGGTAAAGGTTCATTTTCCCTGCATGATACGAGTGACAGCTTGTGCTCCTACCTCCGGAAGGTTGAAAGGCCAGATGAAAAGGCTCTCTGTGTGCATTAATTAGTAGGCACTAACATGACATTTTCTTGATTCTTAGGTCAGTGGGTCAAGTCTGGGAACAAGGGATGAAAAATATTGTGAAATGATCAGGAAAACATGTCGCTAAGGTGGGATGGGGAAAGGATGCTGAGCAGGAGCCCAAAAGAAGGTACTGTGTTATTTTCAAGTGTTTGTCATTGGCTCCTGTTTTGAGAGCGAGAGTTTGTCAGCACAGACAGGAGGAAGTATTTATTGTTCAATAACTTAGAAAGCCTAATTTCCTGTTTCAACTGCCCTTCTGAAAAACACACAACAAAACTAAAGTTGAGTTCATCTGAAACTGAGAAGTGTTAAAAGCAAGCTTGCTTCATTCTTTAAAAGAATTTAGCACATGAGATAAAGGTCACACACTGTCATTATAAACCCAGATCCCTATGGCTCTGTATTTCTGCTTTCTACATAAATATGCTTTTGGAGGAGAATGGCTACAAATTATGTCATTGAGCCAAATGTGTTTGTATTTTTGTGCTCTTTCAAGTCAGAAACAAAATTGTCTGTCACACGACTTAGTTTAAGAAACCTACTTGTATTAACTAAGTGGTAAATGTTTACCTATTTAATCAATATTTTAGTATAACATCTGGTTTTTCAAGCAATCCCCCAAAATACTTTTCTTTGGTGAACTTGTGGAAATATTTTCTTCTAAAAATATACATATATGCTTCAAACTCTAAGATATACCTCCATTATTTCTTAGAAAATAATTGTTTATTAAGTCACTAAAGAAAATGATTCTTCTTCAAAGGCCCTGCCAGGAATAGAATGGAGAGAGCACACTGAGCACACAAACAAAAGAAGCACAGCTTCAACTCGGGGGCTTGGCTAATAGGATGCAGAGCCTCCTTTTCAGTGTCAGGTCCCAGATTTAAATCAGGACAATGTGGGAGCAATGAAAGTAGTTTCCATCTGCTGAGCTGCATGAAATAAAGAAGTTATGTTCTGAGTCCAGCTCCTTGAGGTTTCATCACAAAAACTGCCACTTTAATTGGCATGTTTGCTGCAGCGTCCAGAGAAGGAGAAAGCTGAAGTCATGGTAGGTTCAACCCACTAGGTCACCCCTCAAGGTGCCCCCTCTTGAAGGCCAGAAAAAGACACATGACACAGTGGCTGCCTCATGGAATGTCACCTCTTCTATCGACCAGATGGTTCCATTACCAAGTTCCACAGTTACTTTTCACAATCACTAAAGATGCAGGGGGTAGGGGAAGGTGGGGGTTATGGGAGGGTATATGCACACACACAGGAGAGTATAAGAAATTTTAGTTCTAATATTTTATGTTGCCATTTTTAAAGTGCACAATATGTCTATTATAGTTAGCATTTTTCTTTTCTTTTTAATTCTGGGAAAACATCTTGGAAAGGAAGCTGGTTAATAAGAATTTCCATGACAGTGTGAAGCAAGAAATGGAATCAATTTAATAAATCCTATTTTCCTGAATTCCATACCAGACCTTTTTTTTAAAGATCTGTGATACGTGTTGTCCCTGCTGCCTGGAAAACCTTTCTCCCGCTTTGGTTTCCTGGAAAACTCTTCCTAGTTGTTGTCCACTACTAAGGTGGAGGCAGCATGGACAATGTTTGGAAACCTCCAAGCAGCATCTGGCACACATTCATTTATTGTTTTTAAACAAATATTTCCTGAGGGCCTGCAAGGTGCCCAGGAGTTAGTATTCGGCAGTGAACAAAACAGCCAAGTGCCCAGCCTTCAAGGAGCACTCATCGTATCTAGTGGGGGAGGCCGGCTACGATGAACACATGAACAAATACGGGGATGTCCAGGATGAGAAGAGCTGTGAGGAACAATACAGCACAGTGATGAGCCAGAGCGGGACAAGGGCGCTGTTTTAGACAGTGTGGTCAGAGAAGGCCTAAGAGGAGAGGTGGGGAGAGGTACAAAATCTGAAGGGAATGCCTGGAAACAAGTATACAGGAGTGGAATGGGGCTGCTGGTGGAACTTCATTCTAGGAGTGGGTGGACCAGGACTATTTGTTTACCTTCTTATGTAAAAACTAAAAAACAAACAAACAAAAAAACTTAAGTTAAGCCTAGGGTAGGGTGATTTCCACTTCTGGCCAACATGGAATAACTGAGAACAGATTTAAGCTTCCACTCGAAACAAAAAACTGGATGTTTTTTTCTTTTGTTTTTCTTGTCCAAGGAGCTATATCAGAAAAAAAAAAATTGTTACAAGAAATAAACAAATGGAACTACACCAAACTAGAAAGTTTTTGCACAGCAAACCATCAACAAAATGAAAAGACAGCCCATTGAATGGAAGAACATATTTGCCAAAGATATAGTTGATAAGGGGTTAATATCCAAAATTTATAAAGAATTTATAAAACTCAACAACAAGAACAAAAATATCCAATTTAAAATGGGTAAAGGACCTGAATAGTCACTTCTCCAAAGAGGCCAGAGAGATGGCCAATAAACGTATGAAAAGATGCTCAACTTCACTCATCATCAGAGATATGCAAATAAAAACCACAATGAGATATCACCTCATGCCTGTCAGAACGGCTATAATCCAAACATCTACAAACAAAGTGCTGGTGAGGCTGTGGAGAAAGGGGAACTCTTGTGTACTGTTGGTGGGAAAGCAGACTGGTGCAGCCACTATGGAAAATAGTATGGAGCTTCCTCAAAAGGTTAAAAATGGAGCTACTTTCTCGCCCAGTGATTCCACCTCTGAGAATATATTCAAAGAAACCTAAAACACTGATTCAAAAGAATATATGCACCCCTATATTCATTGTAGCATTACTTACAATAGCCAAGATTGGGAAGTAGCCCAAGTGCCCATCAATAGATATGTGGAAAAAAAGCTGTGGTACATTTACACAATGGTATACTACTTGGCTGTAGAAAAAGGAAATCTTACCTTTTGCAACATCATGGATAGATCTAGAGGGTATTATGCTAAGTTAAATAAGCCAGTCACAGAAGGACAAATACCATATGATTTCACTTCTATGTGGAATCTGATGAAGAAAAGAAATAAACAAAGTAGAAACAGACTCATACATACTGAGAACAGACTGACAGCTGTCAGCGGGGAGGGGAGTTGAGAGTTGGGGTGAAATAGGTGAAGGGATTAAGCAAAAACCCCCAAAACTCATAGCTACAGACAACAGTATGGTGACTGCCAGAGGGAAAAGGGGGTGGTGGAAGGTAGAAAAGGGTAAAGAGGTGATGAAAGAAGACTTGGAGTGATGAACACACAACACAATATACAGATGATGTATTATAGAATTGTACACTTGAAAACTATATAATTTTATTAGCCAATATAACCACAATAAAGTCAATAAAAAATAAATAAAAATGGCATAAAGCACATGGGAGAAAGGGCATTCAAGACATTGGACACAAGGAAATGAAGACAGTGAGATATGGGAACAAACACAGGGAAACAAACAAGGTGAGCCCTGTGATTACCTCAGGCAGGGCCCTCAGGTCCCCTGAGGTTGGGAGTTGGAGGCTGGAATGAGGGGAGGCCAAGATAATTTTCTCTTCAGCATTCAGATGAATCCTCATCAATACATGGGACTGAGGAAACTACCCAAGGATGGGAAGAGATTAGAAAGAACGGTGCTCAGAGACCACAGACAACTGGGCGTGGTGCCTCTTCCCCAAAGCCAGGGAAGAAAACCTCATAATTCATGAAGCATTAGTTATTCAGAAGGGACTTGCCTTGGTAGTGAGCAAAATTAACTCCAGACTAAAAACTCTTTTAGTGCAGTGTAACAAACCTTAAACATAAGATCTGAAGAGAGTGAACTGTTTCTGGGTAATTTAATGGCATGCCAAAACAAAGCTCAAGAATATTTTTAGGAACATAAAAATATCCTGCCCCCATCAAGATAAAATTCACAGAGTCTGGCATCCAATAAAAAAGAAGCTGAAAAATATGAATCATAAGGAGAAGAAAAAACAATCCATTGAAGCAGATCCTAAAATGACACAGATGATAAAATTAGTAAACAAAAGCTTTAAAATTATTGCTACAAGGGAAGATTCTTATGCTCAAAAATCCAGAGGAAAGGTTGATCTTCCTAAGTAGAGGCATGAAATATATAAAAAGAGACCCAGACAACAAGTCTGGTCCTGTTGACAAAATCAACAATGTCTGTGATTAAAAAACAAAAACAAAAAACCAAAACCAAAACAAAACTTGACGGATGAAGAGCAGACTAGATATTGCCAAAGAAAAGATCAGTGAACTTGAAAACCTAGCAATAGAAACTGTCCAAAATGAAACAGAAGGAAAAAAACTACAAAATAAATAGACCACTAGTGAACTATGGGACAACTTTACACAGTAA